CTTGAAAATTAAATGAAAAACGGATAAAGGCTATCCAATAATATTGAAAGTGATTCGAAATAGTAAAAGCAGAAACAAATTGACCGGTGGGCTTTACGTTTTGGCTTGACACGAGTCTGGAAAAGAGAACTGATAAGGATTCCAGCTTGTCAGTGTTTTTTTTTTTGGAAAGAACCGTGATCAAGCATAAAAGCATATTCAAGACATTCAAGACATTCAAACCGCCAAGACTTTTGTCCATTATTTTTGTGACCTTTTTGTTTACGTTTACGCTTATTTTTGTTGTCTAAAATAAACTTTCGAGTTCAATGCTTGGTCATAGCTAAAAGTAGAGTAAAAATGCTCAAAAATACTTGTGACAACTTTTTTATAGCCTCTCGGGAAGGTTCCTAAATTTGCGTTTGAAAGTTGCCACCCAGGACCCGTCAAGACTTTTGTTCATGACTGTTTACTCAAGCATAAAAACATATTCAAACTCACACACTCAACTGTTTATTATTATGAAAACAATGAAAGGTTTGATGTAGTTACTCGATTGATGGACTTTTTTCGAGAGATTTCGATTGTTTTAAACTTAACGGAACAAGACTAATCAAAGAAAAGGAAAAAGAAAAGGAATCAAGGAAAATCTCAAATCTATAGTTAATTAAGCTGACTTTATCCTAACATTAAACAAAGACAAGGATACAAAGCCAACATTAGCAACAACAACGAGTTTCTTTGTTGAACTAAGAAGTCAGCCAATCTCCTCCAACAATCCTTCTCCGGCAGTCTGCAGAAGCTAGTAAACAAGTGAATTTATGTCCTTCAATTGAAGCAAGATTTCATTTGTTTCAAAGCCTGGCAGTGATTGTTATTACGGTGCAAAGGGAAACAGAGGGACCAGCTTGGACTTGGATCTTTTTAGTTCTTTCCAAAAGTTATCGGACATTTTATACGTGCCCCGCCCCTTTTGCTATTGGCAATCCAACTTTGAGCTCAAATTTCTTGGTGTTGAGCTGTTCAATTGAAACATTCTTGGTATCATTAGATGCGCCAAGTCTTTCTCTATCGATTGATATAAAAACTATTGAAATTGAACAGCCCAACACCGAGAAATTTGAGCTCAAAGTTGGATTGCCATTGGGGAAGGGGGCGGGGCCATTGTGCGACCTTTCATACACGCCCCGCCCCTTTTGCTATTGGGAATCTAACTTTGAGCTCAAATATCTTCGTGTTGAGCTGCTAAATTTAAATATTCTTGGTATCATTAGATGCGCCAAGTTTTTCTCTGTCGTTTGGTACAAAAACTATTAGAGGAATCAGGGGAACCAGCTTGGACTCGGATCTTTTTAGTTTTTTCCAAAAGTTATCGGACTCAACTGTTTCTTATTATGAAAACAATGAAAGAACAAGAAACTGGAGTCTTCAGCGCGCTAGAAGCAATGTTTTTACCCAATTTTAATCATAAAATGCACAAAATTCGGTTGGAAACTTGAGTTATTTTCTTAAAAACTGCTAATGAGCTATCAAAATCGCATAGAAGCCTTAAACCATCAAAAAGTGAAATAGAGCTTGAAGTAAAAGAAAATTTTCGTTTAAAAACGATTTTCACGAGATTTTTCAAGTTTTGATAACTCTTGAAAAGAATTTTTGAGAGAAGAAATCAAAAAAACAAGTTGATATCGATATCTTATCACAATTTTCGTTAAATCTTAATCATTTTTTGGAAAAAATCATGAGAGAATGAGATAAATTAAAAACAAAAATCGGAAAATGTCAAGAAAAAGATTGAAAAAGATTGAAAAAGATTGAAAAAGATTGAAAATTATAAAAATAGATTGAATTCTCAGATTTCATGCTATTTTACAGCATCTTTTACCCCAAGAAAAACCCTCAAAATTGGGTCATAAAACCCCTTTTGGGTAAACAAATGTTTTCATGGAAAATTTGAATCTACAAAAAAGTTTTATGTTTGTTTATTCGGTGTAAAAGCTCGATGAGTAAGCGATTCAGAAAAAAACCGGTTCTCTACGGAAATCGAGAAATTTTGAAAAATGAAAAAGCAAAGTGTTCAGCATAAATTACCAAACGTCAAAATCGATTCGAGTTTAGCGAAAACACAGCTGATCAAAGAGCAATTTGGTCTTGTTTTCTTGTTCTTGTTAAAAAATTAGGATCGGATTGGATTGTCTTCAGAAAAATCAAAAATTTTGATTAATAATGTATATTTATTAGAAGATTTATTAGAAGATTTATTAGCTTTTGATTAAATTAACTCACCAAACGAAAAACGTGATTAATGAGGCGCCGACGGTGATCAACGGGTCTATTTTCATTTCATTTAACTTTATTCAAAAGATTAGAATGTAATGTAAACATTAATTGTGAAGAAATGTATGGATTTTATCGGGTTTTCAGTATTTTTGAGTAATGCCATCAACAAATTTTGAATAGTTAGCTAACTTGGGATCATGAATCAAAAATGAAGATTGCGCTGAATGGAATTGCCTAAATGGAATTGTCATTCATCGTTGCTTTGTGCAAGTCTAGTATCAATATATAGCCCTTCAATTGGGCTACACGATGGTATAAAAAACTTGTAGAAAAACTGTTGCTTAGTACAAGAAAAATGGCCGTAAAGTGAGAGCACACTGCAAAAGAAGGTACGTCATTGCTAGCATTGAAGAAAACAAGAACAAACTGTAAAGAATTGCTCTACATCAACATAAAAAGCAAAATCTGATGGTGATTTGTTCTTGTTTCTTGTTCTTGTTTCTTGTTCTTGTTAAAAGCTCGATGAGTAAGAGAAAAAGACAAGTGTTTAGCATAAATTACCAAACGTCAAAATCGATTCGACTTTGGCAAAAACACAGCTGATCAAAGAGCAATTTGGTCTTGTTTTGAGCGGAAAATGGGGTGGGCAATTTTTTCGCATTTTTTTTTTGTGTCAGAGGGTCATTTGCGTCAACTCGCCATAACTTTCTTCTAAGTCGGTCAATCATTATGTTGTTGCTTTCATTTTGTTGCACTTATTGAGATCTACAAAATAAAACCAAAATCATAAAGATTGGCCGACTTAGAAGAAAGTTATGGCGAGTTGCGCAAACGACCCTGTTTTAACAAGAACAAGAAAACAAGACCAAATTGCTCTTTGATCAGCTGCGTTTTTGCTAAGCTCGAATCGATTTTGACGCTTGGTAATTTATGCTGAACACTTCGCTTTTTCTATTCACTTTCAAATTTCTCGATTTCCGTAGAGAACCGGTTTTTTTCGAATCGCTTACTCATCGAGCTTTTAACAAGAACAAGAAACAAGCACAAGAAAATAAGAACAAGAAAAAAGAACAAGAAACAAGAACAAATCACCATCAGCTTTTGCTTTTAATGTTGATGTAGAGCAATTCTTTACAGTCAAAGGACCCACTTCCATTCATCTAATATCAAGGTATCAAAAAATTCATTATCTAATATTGTTTGATATCTGAATGTAGATTTTTCAACGATTATTAAGCCAAATATTGATGCCAACGTGAAATTGAAAATTGAAAATTAAAAGACTATCGAAAAATAATCTAAAGGCAAAAGTTTTTGAAGAGATATGAAAAAATCTTCTATTATAGAAACGCTTAGAGCAAATTAGAGCAATAGAGCTTGAGTTGGCCAGACGATTGCGCCGAATGGAATTGCCATTTACTAGGGACTTCACTTTGTGCGAGTCTCGTATCAAAATGTAGCCCTTCAATTGGGCTACACGATGGTATAAAAAACTTTAAGAAAAACTGTTGTTGAGTACAAGAAAAACGGCGGTAAAGTGAGAGAACCGACTGTTCATCGCAATGCTAACAATGACGTACCGTCTTTTGCAGTGTGCTCTCACTTTACCACCATTTTTCTTGTACTAGGCAACAGTTTTTCTTAAAGTTTTTTATACCATCGTGTAGCCCAATTGAAGGGCTATATATTGATACTAGACTTGCACAAAGCAACGATGAATGACAATTCCATTTAAGCAATTCCATTTAGGCAATTCCATTCAGCGCAATCTTCATTTTTGATTCATGATCCCAAGTTAGCTAACTATTCAAAATTTGTTGATGGCATTACTCAAAAATACTGAAAACCCGATAAAATCCATACATTTCTTCACAATTAATGTTTACATTACATTCTAATCTTTTGAATAAAGTTAAATGAAATGAAAATAGGCCCGTTGATCACCGTCGGCGCCTCATTAATCACGTTTTTCGTTTGGTGAGTTAATTTAATCAAAAGCTAATAAATCTTCTAATAAATCTTCTAATAAATATACAATATTAATCAAAATTTTTGATTTCTCTGAAGACAATCCAATCCGATCCTAATTTTTTAACAAGAACAAGAAAACAAGACCAAATTGCTCTTTGATCAGCTGTGTTTTCGCTAAACTCGAATCGATTTTGACGTTTGGTAATTTATGCTGAACACTTCGCTTTTTCTATTCATTTAAATAATAGAAATAGATTTTTAAATAGAAGTGTTTAAGTAAGGTGTGTGAAAGTTTGAGTTTGTTTGATTACTAAACTTTGAAACAAGAACATATTGCTTTGGGAACATATATTACTCTTTGATCAGCTGTGTTTTCGCTAAACTCGAATCGATTTTGTAAGAACTTGTATTTTCAACACAGAATAAAATTTCAACACAGAATAAAAAGAGTGAAAAAGAGTGTTTCCTTTTGATTTCTATTACATTCTGTTTTACTCTTTTTTCAAAAAAGTAAAACGATTTGTTCTTTTGAAATGAGTAACGCAAAAACTAGAAATAGATCCATAAAAATCAAAAAAAAAGAAAAGAAAGACCAGATTCAATAATCACAAAAACAAATAAAAAGAATTTTTCTCGAGTCCATCTTTGGTGAAGATTCAAAGACAAAAAAAACTAGACTCGATTTGTTTTTTTCGTAAAGAGAAAGCAAAGAGAAATGCCGAGATTCAAAGGGGTTTTTCAAGGCTAAATGTATAAATATCCAATCATATTCAATATTTACTTTCATAATAAGTATATGGGAAATAAGTCTCGGGAGAGTAGTACGAAGTGGGGCCGCTGATCTAAAGTTGAAAGTTTTGAATGTAAAATTGTATTGCTCATTTGATTCACTCGAAATTTCTGAATACACCACTTCAATGGGGAAATTTTGCACAAATTCAAACTTTCAAAAAGCTCAGCAAAACCGGCACACAATTAGATTGAACACTAGCGCATTCTGCTCTTTTCCAATTTGAGCCACAAACTACAGACTACAGACTCGCCGAAATCTCTTATTGGCTCAAGGCAACAAAACAATTCGTGTTATCGTTAGCTCTACTCTGCCTCCAAAAGCCGAATCTCATGATTTTTGGGGGAAGAATTCTAGCATCTGATGGAAAATAGATTCAATATGAGAATGTGAAGCGCAAAAATCAGTGGCTTTCTCTAGGTCAACCCCCCACAACGAACTTCAAAACCCGATATTCATGGAAAGAAACTTATGCTTTGCTGTTGGTGGAATACAAAAGCTTTGGCGTATTATTAGATGAACACTAGCGCATTCTGCTCTGTTCCAATTTGAGCTACAAACTACAGACTTTACTACAGACTACAGACTACAGACTCGCCTAAATCTCTTATTTTTCGATGGATTTTGCTCATTTTTCTTCGTATATTTTTAGTATAAAAGGAAATACAGTATACTAAAATTAGAATATGAGCTTATTCTGTGACAAATTGACTGACAAATGAGTTGCTGTGGCTGTAAAATCCCTGTAGAATGCTTGTCATGCTTGTAATGCCTGTAAAACGCCTATCTGCCTTTAAAAGTCCTATTTCACTACGAAACTATTTGAATTTTCGATATTAACTACAATACTAGACTATTGTGCATCAAAATTTGAGAAAACTATTGAGAAACACGCGAGAAATCAACGATTTTACAAGATCCCCAAAATTGGGTAATTGAACCGACCGCGTGACAGAAAGTGCACGCTTATGTGTAGAAAAAACAAGCTTTTATCCTTTAATTGGGATCATTTTATCCTTTTATCCTTTTATCCTCTTCAAAAACCTCTTTCTTTTGTTCAATTTAATCAATAAACAATATAATTACCATTATTTTCCAAAATGTGAGCCCATCGCTTAAGCAAAAGTCTTTTGTTGCCAGCTGTTGTCCCTTTTTTTGTTTTTACCTTTCTCTCTACGACTTATCGATAAACCTCGGAAAAATGATGGAGATTCTATTGTTGATTGATGAAATTCGCGTCAATAAAGAAGTTTTGATAAGTTTTATTGTATCTCGAACTTTAAATCATTTTTTTGTTCTTTTGTAAACTCACTTCATCGCCGGTTCAGTTACCCAATTTTAACGACTTTTTAAATCTTGAATTTCTTACCCATTTCACCATAGAATTCTCTAAAATTTTAACATAAATAAGCGCTACTACTACTGCATCTAATAGCAGAAAAACAGATTTGTTTATGGTGAATAGGGATCATATAAAAGACAGATCTTTCCAGCTGCTCGTTCTTAGGCAATCCATCATAGAATGTGCTCAAATTTTAAGTTTAATATAATTCATCTGCCTATTGTCTATTGCCAAAAAGGTCTATTGCCAAAGACAAATCCGTGATGAAATGAGAGGTCTTGACAAAGTCAAGAGTGTCAAGACTGAGGTCTTGACAAAGTCGCAGTGTCAAGACTGAGGCTTTGCCAAAGTCGTTGTCATTTCAGATGTAAAAACCTAATAGTTTGACACTCGAAACTAGAATAATTTAAACTAGAAATAGAATAACACTTGAATAGGAGTATCGTTTTATTCAATAAAAGGTCAGAGTTGTTTCAAAGCCGATTTTCTAGACAAAAGCAAGGTCCAAATAACTCCAGGTCTTGGCTTGACCCATAAAAATATCTAAAAAGATAAAGATCTAAATGCTGAACATTTCTTTCTGACAGAAAAGTACAAAACACTTCAAGGGACTCCTCTCAAAAACCACACTTCCCTTGCTTACCCTAATGAATCGACGAAACGCACTCGTAAATTTTCTGTGCGATGTTCTTTCAATTATAGAGATTGATAGAGGAATTCTATAAGATATCGCCTCACCTGTGATGCTGCAGAACTGTCAGCTGAGGAGGCTTGAAGTTCTCTTTTCTGAATTTTCTCCTTATGTCGATTGAGCATCCACAAGGCAAAGAGGGCAGCAGTGGCAAAAAGAACGAGAAGAATGAAAGCGACGAGGAGACCAATTGCCCAACCATAACCATTCGCTTGACTGCAACAAGATTGATTGATTGATTGATTGATCTAGGCTTTTGTAAACTAAATATTAGACTAAAGCTGACTTATGAAATCTCTGTAGTTAAATGAGAAAATTGAAAAATTCAGATTGGAAAAGTAAAATAGCTATCTTTTTTTCGAAATTCCCTCAATCTTTTACAATTCTTTTCAGAATTAAAAAGGATTTCAGTTTAATTTAGAACCTTAGAAAGAACTCACGATGTCAAATCTTCAGGTGTACAACATCCACTTGGGCAACAACCCAGCTCACACAAATAGGGAATCGATCCATCACCGTGCAGATTTTTGTAGTAACAAATCGTCTGATCATCGGAGATCTCTTGTCGAATTAGTGAGCCGAGATTTCTTCTGATTGAATTTATAGCCGCTGAACTCGATGCAATTGGTCTAAATCGTTGATTTAGATAATTAATGAAGTGATTGTTTACAATGTGGTTGTTGTGGAAGCTTGGTATTTTTGTTCTTGTTCACTGATGGGTAACTCGTCCCATCTTGATGACATTTTACTGCTTTATTCTGAATTGATTCGAGATTAATGAGAGGTGAAGTCACCTCAAGGAAAATATTGAAACGTTTTCTGTACTTTCATTTGCAATTACTTAGCAGAAGATAGAACGTAATAGAAATCAAAAGGAAATACAAAAGGAAAAACAAAAGGAAATCTTACGACTTAAGTTGTAGATAAAAAGCTTATAGCAACAGCAACAGCTTATAAATTAAGCAAAGCAACAGCTTATAAATTAAACTCAATGGTAAAGTTGTAGATAAAAAGAAAAATAGTAAAATAAGATGTTAAAATAGCTAATGCACCAATATAAATACTTTATTTAGAAAGAAATAAAGTACGAAAACGAAATGAAAAATGTATCAGAAAGATCGATGTCACTTAAAATGCAACGAAGTAGCCCTTTTAAATGAGAGATCAAAGAGACATGGAGATCAAACGCAACTTGTCGGGAAGGGCATTCCAAACTTTAATCACACTCTTTAATCTTTAATCATTGACAAAAAAAAGCTCTAGAATTTAGAGAAAGGATTTAGAGAAAGCAGATTCGGGATGAGAGATAAAAGAGCCACACCTAGTCGCCAAAAGCCTCGAATTTACCTGAATTTCAGCTATTTTTTAATATTCAAACGAACACTGTAGCTTAAACCAGTGCCGAGAAAAACTCGTTTAAAGCTAGACTACGCAACGCTCCGCACCGTCATTATGGGGGTACTATTACTGTATTTACGGTAATATTTTGACACTCGAAACTAGAAGAGTTTCATCAATTTCTTTAGTCATTCAAAAATAAAAGCGCGGCCTGAGAAGCTATTTTGTGAAATGATTGCTTCATGCGCATGCGCTTCTATTCGAATAAATGCAGTAAGTCATCAATTGAACTACGCTTTATTTCAAATAGAAGATGTTTAGCATTCACTTTTCTATCATTTCAAATCACTTTTCTATCATTTCAAAACAATTTAGGTCCTTTTCCAAGTAGATTCGAGTGCAAAAACTAAGTTTTCGCAAAATTCGATAGAAATTCCTACAAAGAAACTGGCTGAAGAGGTTATTCTTTAGCTAAATACCTAACTTTTTATGCTCTATCTTTTTTCTATTGACACCAAGATAGATTTCTGTGAACGAAAGTGCCTAAATCGACTCTTTTGACCAATTGACTTGCGCGCAGCCCATAAAAAACCAGAGACAGAATATTTTAGTAAGATTTCAAAAATGTTTTGTAGAAAAACAATTGACCTTTATAATAAAGCAAGCGGTGAATAGGTTAGTTTTAAACAGAAGTACAAAAAAAGTGGTTAAAGCTAATTTACCAAGCTAATAGCTGAACAATCATGAAGTAAAGTACAGAAATGAATTCACCTGGTGATCTAGAGGCTACTCGAGTCGCTTAATTGCATTGAATTGTACTTTGAAAGGAATGTACTTTGAAAGGATTGTACTTTGGAAGGATTGTACTTTGAAAGGATTGTACTTTGAAAGAATTGTACTTTGGAAGGATTGTACTTTGAAGGATTGTACTTTGAAAGTATTGTACTTTGGAAGGATTGTACTTTGAAAGGATTGTATTTTGAAAGGATTGTACTTTGGAAGGATTGTACTTTGAAGGATTGTATTTTGAAAGGATTGTACTTTGAAGGATTGTACTTTGAAAGTATTGTACTTTGGAAGGATTGTACTTTGAAAGGATTGTACTTTGAAAGGATTGTACTTTGAAAGGAATGTACTTTGAAAGTATTGTACTTTGGAAGGATTGTACTTTGGAAGGATTGTAGTTTGAAAGGATTGTACTTTGAGAGGATTGTGCTTTGAAAGTATTGTACTTTGAAAGGATTGTACTTCTTGAAGACATAATTCAAGAAACAATTCCAAGTGCTCATGGCTCCAAGCGGAGATTTTGGAGAGCAAACACAAATAGGTAATCGAGAATGGAATGAATACTGAAAGAATGGGTTGAAAAGGAGATGAAAGGGCGATGATTGTGAAAGAGGGAATTCACCCACTCATAATCGGTGACCGTTCATTGAGAAAATGAAGAAAAGAGAGGCGAAAAGCATGCACTGCGTGTGTGTCCACCTGGAGAGATCAACTGCACGCTCTTTTGAATACGATCACAATTTGTGGAGTTCTGAAAAAGGTTTGAGTCATTTGTAAGGCAAAATATAGGTTTTAAAAAAGATATTCAAGGTTTTGTAGCATCATAAGCAAAGGAGCAGATGCAAGATGAAATGCTTACAAGCTGGTTCTCAGGCTTGTAAGCGAGGCTATTTCAAAAGTCATGACTAGTCATGCTAAGCAAAACTAAGCAAAACTGCTAAGCAATGGCCTAAGATCTTTGGCTTGAATTTAAGGGAATTAAACCAAAATGATTGACTTGGCCTGAAAAATTAGACCGACTTGTAACGACGAGTCACAAAAAAGCTGCCGCAGTCTAATAAGACACCAGAAATACCGTACCCTAAACAATGTCGCGCTCAAATGCGTATAAAAGGACGCCTGATTTTCTATTTGGCGAATTTTTCTCTCATTCTGTCTTGTGAACGTTGAAAGTCTCGTCAACAACATTGCTTCTTTGAGATTCGTTGAAACATTTGCCTGCTTTGCTTTGCTGCTTTGCTTTGCTGCTTTGCTTTGCTGCTTTGCTTTGCTGCTTTGCTTTGCTGCTTTGCTTTGCTGCTTTGCTTTGCTGCTTTGCTTTGCTGCTTTGCTTTGCTGCTTTGCTTTGCTGCTTTGCTTTGCTGCTTTGCTTTGCTGCTTTGCTTTGCTGCTTTGCTTTGCTTTGCCTGCTTTGCCTGCTTTGCTTTGCTTTGCTTTGCTTTGCCTGCTTTGCTTTGCCTGCTTTGCCTGCTTTGCCTACTTTGCCTGCTTTGCCTGCTTTGCCTGCTTTGCCTGCTTTGCCTGCTTTGCCTACTTTGCCTGCTTTGCCTGCTTTGCCTGCTTTGCCTGCTTTGCCTGCTTTGCCTGCTTTGCCTGCTTTGCCTGCTTTGCCTGCTTTGCCTGCTTTGCCTGCTTTGCCTGCTTTGCCTGCTTTGCCTGCTTTGCCTGCTTTGCCTGCTTTGCCTGCTTTGCCTGCTTTGCCTGCTTTGCCTGCTTTGCCTGCTTTGCCTGCTTTGCCTGCTTTGCCTGCTTTGCCTGCTTTGCCTGCTTTGCCTGCTTTGCCTGCTTTGCCTGCTTTGCCTGCTTTGCCTGCTTTGCTTTGCCTGCTTTGTTTGCCCCACGTGTATTGACTTGTTGACTTGTTGAAACTTGTTGTTATTAGTTTAAGCAAATGTCAACAGGTCTAGCCACTTCTAATGAATTTAAGGGAAACACGTTAGTAATACAAAGCAAATTAGTTTTGATACAAGAAGCAGAGGCCCATTTGAGTTTAAAACATCACTGCGGTCTTTGCACAACATTCTGATTGACCTAGAAAAAGTAAGAAACTCAAAATCAACAACAAAATGCAGTCATATGGATCGTAGCTCATTAAAGCAAGTGTTAGAAACAAATTAAACAAGGGAATTAGAAAATCGACGCTTTTACGCGGTTATTCGATGTATTATTATGATTTAAAGTAAAGAAGTTGAGAAGCGGATGTTTAGAGATTGACATTTGGTAGCCTTGGAAAAGAGAAAAGGGAAAGTATCGACGGGGGAATGGTCGTAGCTCGTGTCCCGCGTCGCGTTACGTCAAGAGGTCCGATTGAAGAGAAGAGAAATGAAGAGATGAAGGGGATCGATGGATAAGGGAAGACTGTATCGACTAGGATCTCAGAAAAGAGATCCCACACACTGACCATCGCCCCGCTTTTGAAGGCCTGTCAACTTTGAACCTTTCAGCTCTTCGGCTAGGCTAGTTTCTGTGGAGTTGTGGGCAATCTTTTACAAAATTTGCTGAAAGATTAGGAAAATACTTTGCAAATCGGTGAAGAACTGAAACTTTTCCGTTGAACGCATTTCAATAACATTTTTTTGAATTGTTTTTCTAAAAAAGAATCCAGTTTGCTCAACAAGCTGCTCAACAAAATTCCATACATTATCATAGACTTTGAAATGATAAATTCTAGCTTATGTAAGCTTATGCGCTACGATTGCTTTAGAGTTTATGATGTTAGCTTAATTGTTTGAGATTTTATTGGGTTGGTGAATTGAAAACTGCTGTCTATTGTCATATGTGACAGCTTGAGCACTTTGGGATATGGAGGGAGTGGTGTACTGGGAGTTGCTGGATAGCAAGACGGCCCTTGATGCAATCAAATACAGTGAACAGATGGAAAAGGTGAATGAATTCCTAAAGAAGAATAGGCCCTTCAAGTCAAAGATTCTCCTCCACGACAACGCGTGCCCTCACGTTGCAAAACTGACTCGCTCTAAAATAAACAGCCTTGGTTGGGAACTTTTGGCACATCCCCCATACAGTCCGGGCCTTGCCCCTTCTGATTACTATTTATTCCGGACCATGAGTAATGAGCTTGCGGGTGAACACTTCGATTCGGAAGAAGCAGTCAAAAATTGGCTTTGAAAGTTTTTCGATTCAAAACCAAAATCCTACTACGAAAGAGGAATCCAGAAATTGCCTGTAAAATGGGCAGAAGTCGTCAATAATAATGGAAATTATTTGGAATCAATTGATGGTTTTATGTTGAATAAATTTTAGTTAAAAGTCCCGCAGTTTTCAATTCACCAACCCAATAGATACAGATCACAAACAAAAAACAAAAACAGATCGATTTGTTAAAACAAACAACAAAAACCTCAAAAGGCTTGGGCTGAATCTTTCAAAATGATCATTTTTTATGATAAAAACGCTAAAATCTATAGCTAGCTTGCTCTAAATTAATTAAAATATGATTACAAAATGGATTGGTTTATCAGCTTATTTCATCGAAGTAAGTATTTAGAAAAACTGGATATTGCTCAATTAATTCATTGAAAACGTCAAAATATTAAAGCTGGTATTAAAGCTGAATATTTACGTACTGTATTGGCTATTTTACTGTAAACAAGAGCGCAGAA